TAGTAATTCAAATTGCTTAGGGTGAAAAGATGTTCACAGGTGTGCGCGGAGATGCCGAGCACATGCGCGGGGGATATTCGAGGTCGTGCATTGTCTGCCTCAGATCCGTGCCCCCTCGTTTTCTGTGTTTTGTATAGATCTTTTGCTTGTAAGTGCACACTTCAGCTGCCCATATAAGTGATTTGTTTTGTTTCGTGTTGTAAACTTCAGTGTTGATGCTGCCTGCGTTAGGAGTTATATTTTACGCCATCACCACGAACCCTGCCCCTGTTTCCAGTTCCACACTCTCGCCTCCTATCCCCTACAATCCCCGAGACTTAACCTATTATACCCACCGCCGTGGTGGAAACAGATCTTTCCGACGTTGTAGAGTTTCCTGTTGTTATTCTAAATGAACTCAATTGCTTTTGTGAACTAGAGGCAACAGTAGGCACATATACGCGATAACAGTTACATCAAAAAATAAAAAAGTGGTGGAGGCTGTGGCCTCGGTTTTAATGTGGATGACGAGGAGCAGCCTCGGTCGGCAGTAAAATATTGTCGCGATTTGTTGGTAGAGCTGAGACAGCCTCTGTCGTCTGCAGCAATAATCCCACTGTTGCTGGGGAAGGCGCCACTCGGTTGATGATGGAAGACGCAAGTTTCGTTGTTGATGGAAGGCGTCCTCCTAGTCGGTTCGAAAATGTTTACACTAAAAAGTTTGCCGAAAAAATTGGCCACTTAACCCATCTGGAACTTCGCCCCGCTCCAGCTGTGTTCAGCTTACAAGCAAATTTCATACATAATTAAGTGTTGGTGCCTTTAGTTTACAAAAGCGATTGGAGTCATTTAGAATAATTAGGAAACTCCACAAATTTGGGAAAATCTGCTTTCAACACAGCCGCTCCCTTTCTTCCTTTCCCACCTCCTCCTCATATCTTTATCCCCAGTCACCACAGTTTGCCATTCACTTCGGCCAAGTTAAGCTTAGTAATTGCCGCGTTTCAGTATTTCCGCTTGATTTGCTAAAAATCTGCATGCTGGCACTTGCTGATGAGCCTGTTTTTCCACGTAAAATTCAATGGGACCGAATTCGTGTGATTGTGAGGGGTTGCTTGTTTTCGCAAAAGTGAAGGCGATTGCAGGAGAGCGGAAATGTCGAGCGACAATCCGAACGACTTCTATTTGCGCTACTACGTTGGGCACAAGGGGAAGTTTGGGCACGAGTTCTTGGAGTTCGAGTTTCGCCCGGACGGCAAGATGCGGTACGCGAACAACAGCCAGTACAAGAACGACACGCTGATCCGCAAGGAAGCATACGTGGGCAAAATCGTGCTCGATGAGCTTAAACGCATCATCGATGACTCGGAAATTATGCAGGTACGGCCTGAAACACTTCTGCAGCATCCTGTCGGAATGGATAGAAAGTCAGTAACGGAGTTCCACTTCTATGAAAGGAGAAGGTAATTGGAAATAATGCCAGTGGTAGGCACTTGCCCGTAGCGGTTAGCCATTGGTAAGGTTGTCGATGTCTCTCTTTTTATCTCAGAGTTGCTTAGATGGCAGTTCCCTAACATGTGGCAATGCTAGTTAGCATTGAATTGGATAGATGAGTCGTAGAGGGATTGGCCGTCTCACCGGCAAACGCTCAAGAAAAATCTGCTCTTCCTATAGTGTGTGTTTTTTCGTCGCCGTTGGAGTTCT